TTTGTAAGCCTTGTGTAGAGGACTCACTTACTCCTTGAGGCCCTTACATGCTGGTCTGGCCATGTGAAACTACCACCACTGATTACTTTCCGTACCCGGGAGAGAAGAGCCGTTAGAACGTTTCTCCCACTCGAAAGGGTCGGGGTTAGGGTGGTCCCATCCAGAAGCCTCATGGGCATGCTGCTCAGGACCAGAAGTGCTGTAGGTGGTGTCCTCATCTTTGGAAGCGCAGCCGAGAGTGTGTCCCCAACCAAACTCGTCGGCAGAGGTACCCGGACGAGAGTCGCTCCAGACAGGAGTCGTTGGACGGCCATTGCTGCCGGTCTCATCGTAGTTGGTAGCAGTGCCATTGCCTCCAGTCTGATGATCGTTGTTGTCGTTCCCGGCACCAGCAGTGGCGCACCAGTCTCCCCATGTGAACGCGGCGGGAGGCATCTCAGGTGATGCAGCAAGGCTTTCACCATTCCAAACGCCGATGCGGCGACGGCGCCAAGCGCTGGGGACGGGTGAAGCCTGGCTGTAATGACATTCCTCTCGGCCCGACTGAATATTAGCACGGAAGCGGCGAAATCCGTCAGAATCGCGCGAGTAGCGGTCCTTGAGGGTATCGGCGTAGTCTTCGTTGCGTTCGCGGACAGAATTGATGATCATGCCAACTACCGTGGCCCCGTCGATCTGAGTTCCCATATCCGCCAGCTCATTAACCATATTGACGAACTTGTGGAAAAAGGCAGTGTAGTCGACCGGCTCTGGGCCGCGGGGACGCAGAGCAAGTAGGAGACGGAGCCGCTCTGGCACGAAGAAGGAGGCGCGACTATCGACCTCATCGAGGATTGCGAGGTACAATTCGCGAGGACTGTTATTGGTAATGAGCCTATCCCAGGGGGAACCAATCGATGAGAGTAGCGAGCCTGAGATGGAGACACAAAGAAGCGAGATGGCCAAGCGGATTTGGTCCATTGACAAGACGCGCTCAGCGTTGTAGGATGGAGCCGAGTCGATCAGATGGTCGAGATTGTAGAGCTTGAGATGGGCCCGGATGCTGGTCTTCCAGTGTTCCATGTTGGCCTGTCCAACGAGCACGACAACGGGCTGCTCGCCGGCGATGGTGGATGACATGATGGCAATGGATGAACGAAGAGGACAGTACTAGTGAAGTGGGTAGCTGAGCGTAGTCGAAGAGCAACCTGACGTGCGGCCGAGATCGAAGGCTGTATCGTGTAGCTTGTAAGCAGCACTGGATGACGAGCACGAGGGACGAGATTGATGTCACTAATCCTCAAGTTGACACAGACGTGGTGCGGAGACTGTTGAGGTCAGAGATCTGATCAGAAGATAGTGTCTTTACTCAAGATTGAGTTGAAGAGGGAAATAGTTGAGGAAAGTTGTGAAGGTAGAGGTTGTGTGAAGGTGGGATGGATGGTAGGAGTTGACAAGATGTGCAGAGAAGGAGCTGCAAGTAGGGTAGGCACCGTCCTGAGTTGCAAGTGGGAGTACCCGCCTTGTAAATCAACTTGAAAAGGACTTCTGCAAGTACCTAAACTTCAAAGGTTGCCGAAACCGAGTTGTGGGCTGTCTTGGGAGCAGAACAGATGATGTGTTAGGACGCATAGAGACGTGATGAAAGGCCTTTTAGCAAGGCAGGCAAAGAAGGGCTGAGTGAGGAGCTGAATCTGTGATGGGAACCGGTGGAAGAGGTGAAAAAGGTGTGAATAACTTACCTAGGTGCTTCTTGTACCTGTGCTGTCCCTTTGAGAGGCAAGTCAGGTAGAAGGCAGAGGACAAGGCCAGTTACTGTCTGTTCTCAAAAGAGAGGAACAGAGTGAAGTACTGGGAGAGTGATGTGAGAGAGATGGAGGAAACAAGAAAAAGATGGGGGGAAGGCAGAGATTTATACAGAACGTCCTCTCTTTGGGCATCCCTCTTAATGGTAATCCTCTTAATGCCAAAAGCCATTGAGAGGAACTACCTACCCCATTCGTGTTGCGGTCCCATGTTTCTAGCTATTGAAAGCACTGGCTTTCAAAGGGATCGCTGTCGAGGTACTGGCTCTTACAGCACTGTCGCTCTCTAAGTATGGTCTTTCTCTAATGATTGTCGCTCTTCATGCATACTCGCTGTCGAAACTTGGCTCTTGAAGCAAATGAACGGCAATGTAGGTATCAGATGATGTCAAAGGTGCCGGTTCGCCACTGAATAGTCATGTAATGGTCTCGCCGAATAGTCGAACGGCGATTAGGTCAAATGGGCAGAAGTCTGTATAGCCGCATTAATCCAGGGGCACGAAAACGGTTTCGAAAGCAGCTACATCTTCGATTTCTGCTTCAAGTGCATACACCAATATTCCACCCTCATATGCTTCTCATGAGCCACACTGCCACAACTATGTCCTTATATTGAGCAAGGGGCGTTGAAATATTTCAGGCAGTAGGGTAAAACTTATGAGTACTGAGGCTACTCTCACAGTCACATAGTTGGATAGATGTGACGCCGTGTTAGTCGTGTAGATCGTTGGCATGAAACATTTACGATGTGAAAAGGGTGTACAAGAAGCGCATCTCTCCCACGCGGTTATGTCTCATAATTGGCTAATCAAAATGCGCATATTTAGTTTTTCATCTCACGGCGACTTGAATGATCTTGGCTGTGCCCATCAAAGTCAGACTCCAATGTTCGAATCACAGAAGAAAAGATTCACGCCGAGAAGTGAGAGTAAGGTAACATGATGGTCATAAGATGGACCAGTGGCTAACTATCCCAATCTGTGCAAGCAGTATTATGGTTCAAAGCAGTCAGTGCTCTTGGTGTTGCCAAACGTGGGTAGCACCTACCTCAAATCAAAGTCTTTGAATCATAGTGAGATTCAATGAAAGGCAATCACACAATATGAATTTCAGATGAACCATTAGGAGCTGTGAGAGGCTGTATGTACGAGCTCCCTGGATGGCAGCTACCTTGAGTTATTCAATAGCCAGTGAGACAAAGGCCACTTGAAGTGAGCGTACACTGTGGGCCACAACTCAAAAAAGAAAAGCACAGAGGTTGTATTTGGGATTGTTGACGTCGAAATGCCTACGAGGAAAGGTTATTTTGTTGCTGATTTCTTTTGGTTGTCCTATATTGACTGGGTTGACCGGGCTGCATGCAGTTCATGCAGTCGCCAAGGCCCAAGATAAGCAGATGCTACTTGGGTGCAGTCTGAACAGCAAACAAGTGGAACTGGCTCACGCCGAAAACTACACATAAGGACGTGTGTATCCTTTTAGGGGCCGTCAAGGCTTGTGCTGGTGTCTATGGTTCATTATTAAATATCTAGTCAGAACTGAGGTGATAGTCTCAAACCCTCCAAGTGAAGGTTGTTGATCCTGCTTATACAACGTAATTGTTCACTTGATGCCAAAGACAGCGATTTTCATGCTTGGGTTGAAGGGGGATGACTAAGGGGTTGGGTCAAGTAAAGACTGGTTGGCAGTTGCTCCCTACAGTCTCGCCTCATACCACGCGTGAAAGACACACCACAGTCCTGTATTTACCAAGGAGCAGCTAAGATGGTTGTATATTCAGAAACCAATATAATTGTTATGGTAGTCTACTGGAGCACCCAGGGCAGAATAAACAACAAAATGGACATAGACAAGCCCTGACTTGCAATGCTTTACGTACAAGGCTCATTGCTTATGGAACTTGCCGTATTGAATTCTCGCTTAGTTGGATACCAAGTCAATGATCTTGCCATGCATCTAGTCATTCTCTGATTCTGTACATCTGAGTTCCAATGGCTAGAGCTCGCTAGGTTAATCTGAACAGGATTAAACTTGGATTGTAATAATCAGAATAGCCTCATCTTTAAAGGGAACACACTATCATTTCTGAAGCATAGGAAAGGGACAACGAACGGATAGATAGCCAGAACGCAGAATGTAATCTGGATAGATTCCGAATCGCGGTATGTAGCAACTACTTTTTAATGAACTGTTATAACTGGATAATCAGCCGCCGCGAGTCTTGGGCATAGACGGCATAGTAAGAAGATAGAACGCCAAGATTTAGAACAAAGAGTCAGACTACGGCAGAGATGGTTTGTTTCTATGCCCGACATGCGATAGAATAGTCAGCCGGTTAGTAGATAAAATTATCATCGAACATGATAAACAGATCAATCCGAAAGTCAAAAGACAAAAACTCTCGATCGGGGAATCGAACCCCGGCCACCTGCGCACTTATTCATCTGATAGAATCGATGACAAGCAGGTATCCTAACCACTAGACCAATCAAGATGTGGGATTTGTATGAAGCTATCTACCGACTATGTCTATCTATATAAGATAGTTGGAAATCTGCGGACCGATGTGAAAATTTTGCCCGAAGAGGGGCGCAGGGCTGATCGTGTGTCGGTGCTTAAATTTTTACGACATTATCTCCGAGACCAAGAGTTAAGATTGACCGATAGTCTAGGGGCGAGCTGACTCGTAAGTTGAGCTGAAGTCTTTGAGGAACCGTCAAAAATCAAAGCAGTAGCAAAAGTGAATCTCTCGATCGGGGAATCGAACCCCGGCCACCTGCGCATTGTACATGACAAGCAGGTATCCTAACCACTAGACCAATCAAGATGAATGAATTGTAATTTGTTGAGATTTCGTTCGCCAACTTTGCTTTATGTGCTACACATGCATTCAGGCCCACACCGTCGACAACGAAGTGGACTGAAACACTTTTATCACGCATGTTTAGCAAGCCGCAAGCGTGGGTTGGTCTGGTGGATATTTCTCACTTGGTTGCGCGGCAAGTAAGAAGTTAGTGCAAATGGTGGATGCCCACAAGAATGCCTGCGAGGATGTCGTCAAAAATGCTGGGGCTAGTTACGTAAGGTTTCACACACTGCTGTGTCAAAACGCTTCAACTCAGCTTCGTCTTTTCGCAAATTCTTCACGACTCAAAGTCTGTGGAGCCTGCTTCATGAGTAGCGATAAACGGCATATTGTCATACAGCATCATAGCATCTTGATTGGTCTAGTGGTTAGGATACCTGCTTGTCATTGCACAGCACCGCAGGTGGCCGGGGTTCGATTCCCCGATCGAGAGATTCTTTTGGTCTTAGGCACATCTCATTTATTCTTTTTGCTGCTTTGAATTACTTCAAGTTCAAGTGGCGGCTGTCTGTTCATCGCCTTGTGGCATAGACAGATAGGTAGTAGGTAGGCAGACTACTTCACGTTCTTGCTCGATTAACCACTACACAGCACGGCATATTATATAGACATCTTCCGATAGGTATCAATGAGTTGCATCGTATGTAATGTCGTTTCCTCATGAAGCTACTAAATGAGGTATGCATTAGGGGCATGCTGACATGCATACCTATGTTGATCTGTGCACTTAACACTGAATCCCAACTGATGTAGCCGGTTTGACTAATGCTCCCTCACCGCCCCGTACTCGTACTCTCTAAAAGCAGATGTAATAGCATCCCAAGCGCAAAAAAAGCTCATAGATATCACGTAGCAAGGATATTCCGGATTCGTCGTAAGGACTCGACTCCGAACGCCGACCGTTTCTCAATCACAACGCCAACCGAGTCCCACTCTATCAGTCCTGGTTCTGGTCATCACACGATTACCAGAATGAGCACCAACCAATGTAATGCTGGCACAGATTCTCGAGCTTGGTAGCCTCCATGATCAGCTTATTGACCTGTTGCACTACTTCGAGCTCTTCGCTAGGCTTGAAGTCCCGGCCCGTCAGTTTTTGGTTCACGCGATCAAGTACCTCGACAGCCCGTGCGTTTTGAATCTCCGTCATCTCGCCATCCATTTGCGTCACTCCGTTGACCACGCTAGAATTCGTGCGAGCGCGGGCCCGACCGGGTATACCTCCTTGTTGCATTGACTCTAGGCCGCTCTGAGTCACACCCAGCAGCTCGGACGGCGGATGTTCGGCGTCTAGAATGCTGGGTCGACGCGCCCGCTGAGCGCCTGCCCCGAGTGCTGCCTCACGTTCAGAATGGAAGTTCGGGCCATTGGCCGAAGCAGTATTTGTGAGACGCCAGGTGAGTAGGGGATCGTGGATGAACTATCAAAGAGTTAACATCCAGCTAGGCACAGTGGAGAGTGGGAAAAACTTACCGCTTCGAGAACAGCCATCACACTTTCTTTGTTGTCTCGCAAGACCCGCATGACGTGCTCGCAAGTGATGCGGAAACTGCCCTCAATGTTGCTAACCTCCATGGCGTATGTGAGCATACGCGTCAAGCGGAAAGGAACTCTTTCGGGATATTTGTCACGCTTCATGGCCACTTCGAAGCAGTCTCCGAAGTCAATATGGATGATCTTGCCCGTAATGCGGTCCAGCATTAGATTGCTCGGGTGTCGATCGCCCAGACCCAGAATGTAGCCGACCATGCTCATCACACCCAGACTACGGGTGTAATTCGTTCGTCGTTCCAACCATGCCTCCGAACTCTTGCTCTTCAGCCACAAAACACGGTACAGGTCTTGGCCGGTTGTGTTATCTAGAGCGTACCCGAACACTTCTACCTTTTGCATGAGGGTCAGATTGTCATAGTCTGGCGCCATTTGTAACATGATACGATGCTCGATGTTTAGCAAGATCTTGCGGCTCTCACGGTATTCGCGGATGAGAACATGGAGGGTGTCACTATTGGGGACCCATCCGAGGAGACCCGAGTTCTGACTGAGTGGGATGGCTGGGTATCGCTGAATGTTTAGATGGCGCTTGTAACATTCGGAGTCATTTGACAGTAGCGTGTTACAGAGACCAAAGAGCTGCATGACCCGTTCATCTTGTCGAATATCCTCGTGACCCTTGAGTAAGAAAGCATACGTGACACCATCACTACCCGCAGTATTGAGCTTCCGAGGTCGCTGTTTGGAGTTAATGACACTGAAGGTGGTCTCGAATGAGAGAATTCGCACAATCGGCTTCCCGCTGCGGTACGTGCCAGGAACAGCGAGGTCTAAGTTCTTGGCATTGAGGAGCCGCGGGGAACAATATGTGAGGTCGAGGGATGTCATTTGAGGGAGTTGCCTCCCAATGCGACGGAAGACTTGGTAGTACAGATCCCATGCGCCGGTAATATCGGTCACGTCACCACTAGTTTCATATTGCCGACACCACTCTCGGGCTTCTGTAAGATCCCTTCCGAACGTCTGTGCGAAGCTGATCTCACGCAATGTCTCGGGTCCCCTCTCGAGTTGCTCGTGCATCGGATTCAAGAGGGCGAACATGCCTTCCACATTCTTATCAGAAAACCACAAACGAGAAGCGTCTTCGATGGCTTCATGCCACTGCTCGTGCCACAACACCGCGACCCGGATAAGTTCGTGGCTGACAACATCTGCTTGCTCGACGAGATTGGCGCTGTGTGCACGCATACTGTCCATGATGAGAGCCGCAGATCTTGACCTCCTAGTGTTCTGCGGGGATTTCGATGCGACTGTGAGAGGGTACACCAAGGCCTGTGGATGATTGCGACCGACATCCGCGAGCAGGTTGTGGATGGATTGACGAACCCTGGGGTTCGGCTGGTTGATTCGTGCGATAAGCTGTGGTATTACTTCCAGCCAGGTATCAACACTAACAGTGCCGAAACCTTGAGTGACTGCCGTGTTCACTTCACTGCTGCCACCATGGGCGAACCACAATGTGAGAAGGCGAAGAGTGTCCTGCAGGGAGCTGCCGGAGGATAAGGCAATGGATTTGAAGAAACCCTGCACAGCTGGTACCACATGATTGATTACCACCGACGAGTCTGGCCTGGGCGTTGTCCGGTCAGTTGGGGACATGAGAGCTTGAACAATCTCGAAGTTGGCCAGGGCCCAAGCATGCCAGGCCTTGTACCACTTGGGGTTGTAGTGCGTAGCTTTCGAATAGGACGTCAAGATTTCCTGCACGCTCTGGTCCTGCCAATCACTCTTGTTCAAAGCGGCCTGCCATTCGCCCTGCTTGAGGTAGCATTTTGCCAAAAGAACTGTGTGATCTTGGTATTCCTTTTGGGACCTCAATCGAGAGACACCAGGCTCGACACCATTGTGGAACCCGTAGTCAGACATGGGATCTACACCGTTCGGAACGGACTGCAACGAGGCTCGCGCTATATCTAAATGCTGTACCGTGTCCGCGGTGAATTGTCGAAGTGAGTAGAGAGTTTTCTCAGCATGTCCGGACTGCCGCATTGCCGGCTGCTGGCCAAACTCCCAGTAGAACTTGAGTACAGCATAGACGACCTGAGGAGGTATTCTGCGAGCGGCCGCATTCGATGCCGGGCTGTTCTGGGTCCAATAAGGGATGATTTCCTCGAGAGGGTGGTCAGTGCCAATTAGCAGTTTCAAGGACTTCTCGGCAAGCCCCATGCGTCCCGACTTTCTGCAGAGATTGGCAAATTTGATCCACATGTGCATGTTTTCTTCGGGCGAGATGACCAGAGCGCGTAGTCGAAGCATCCGTTGCCATACCTCTACATTCCTTTGGCAGCCTTTCAGACGAATCTCCCAGGTACGCCGCATTGTGGACTTCTTCTTTTCGTCTGCTTGTTTATACACGATAAGCTCCTCCAATTCGGCAAGCATTTGAACTCGGACGACAACCTGATAGGCACGATTGTAGGACTCGCTGACAAGCGCACTAAGCTCTGTATCCAGGCCTTCTCGCGCCTGCTGAATGTTTTGGGTTGCTTCACGGAATTGGTTCCGATGCAGAGCAAGTATAGCACCGAAGAAGGAGCGGTCCGGCGAGTTTCGCCTCATCGACGACAGATATATCTCCATAGCGTCCCATTTACCTAAACTCCATGCAGCACCCGTGGCCAGGGGCGCAATGCGTCTCTGGACCTCTGGAGCAGCATTTGCCCAGGTATTGGCTGCTAGACCAGCAAGTGCATCCCACTCAGTAAGTGCGTGTAGACAGCGCATTTTGCCCATTACAATGTCAATGGGGATGGCTTGATCCTCTGGAATTTCTGACTCTCTTTTGTCATAGAAGGCGAGGGCTTCTTCCCACCGCTCTAGTTTCTCAAACCAGGTCTCGCGAAGCTGTATGCCATCTTTGTACAGCTGTGCCTTACGAAGTATACCAATAGCAGCATCATACTGTTGCAGTTGGTTGTTGATAACGATCAGAGCCTCCACGGCTGGGCCGCTCTGGTCTTGTAAGAACTCCAATTCCTTATAGTGTAGAGCTTTAGCATAGGCATGGCAGCGAGCGGCCTCCCTCCCCAATATTCTGATATCGATGGGCAAGGCTTTGTCGTCATGCTCCATGAACTCCGCGAGATTGAGGAGAAGACCCAGCAAATCCGGAGGCACATTCTCTGATCGAATAGCATTCTCAATGTTCTGGATAAGTTCATCTTGGAACTGTTCGTACAGGTCACTCCAGCATGAAACGAAGGCGGAATTGAAGAGCTCCCGGGCCAGAGGCAGGTAAACACTAGCTAGCACTGCAGTGGCCCGGAGTGCATGGTTGGGAGATTCACTCAGGAGTGTGGTGCTGAAGCGTCGCAACCACTCCTGCCAGTCTTCTTTGGTGGATTTCCCTCTTGTATCCCATGCAGTCTTGAGATGTATGGCATTCATTTCCAACTTTTTGTTGCCCAATTCCGCAAAGGCCGGTTCGTCGGGCTGGTCAATGAAACGCCCCTCAGAACTCAGATCCTGTGGCAATACTTCTCCTTTCTGCAGCTTGGAAACAAGTAGATCGTAGTTCTGATGTTGTATTTGGCTCGTTTGTAAGACCTTGTTGATCGTGCCAAGGAAATGCAGGTAGTCTTTACCGAGCTGCTGGATCAGTGCACAAAGCGTGTCTAAAGCAGCAACTCGCAGGGAAATCTCGCCATTTGCAAGGACTCGCGCCAGCGGGTGGATAATTTTGGCGGCGTAATCGTTGAGATTCACCTGCCGAGAGATTTTACCGATTGTCTCAATAGCGGACTTGCGTAGAAAAGTCGGCTGACCCTGCTTTTCGAAAGTGCGTACGATGACGGGAATGATCAAGTGCATGTATTCCTCACTGCTGGAACCAAACACTAGCAAGGCATGTAAAACTTTTTCGGAAGGTATCCTCTTGGT